TGAGAATGTAAAATTAAAGCAAGCTTTGGAGGACCATGAAGCTAGATCCATGAATCTAGAGCAGAAAGACCAACCTTATTACTAAACTAGAACACGACGTATCACTAATCAAGGAACAGAGTTTGCAAGGCAAGAATAGAGAATGCCTTCAGACTGTTATTAATGCGCAAAATGCACTTTCTACGAAAGTTTTTCGCAGGATCTGGTGAGTATACAAGTACCCTCACTTAATGAAATTCTGATAGTACTCCCAAACAAATACCAGAGAACACATCCAATTCTAATGAACATAAGGAGACAAAGACCCGACGTTCTGCATCATCTATTCATACTAAACCCAAATCACCAGAAGATAAACCAGTTAAATCAAAAAGAAAAGGAAAGGATTAGTAATATTATGAGGGAGAGAAATAGAGAAAATAAAGTTCAGCATACTATTTCTTCTGAAACAAATTCTACAACTGAAATTCCCATCTACTGTAGTGACCTAAAAACAATTCAATCAGAATCTAAAACTTCTGTCGAATCAGAGCAAATAATCATTGATCAAACACAAGATACTATTTCCTCCGGAATAACAGAACTAAAGAAAATTCCCTATAACCAGAAAGTAGAGCAATGTTTAAGATGTGAATTATCTGTTTGCGTCAAGAATAATAGTAATGAAATCAATATATTTGATATACAGATCCCCAATGATCCAGAAGAAAAACGAAAACATGTTATCAAAATAGTATTGGATCAATTCTCTGTAATAAGTATAGCGATCACTTCGACTATTCAGAAACATGTCCAGTGTGTAATGAAGAGCATAAAGATGATGAAGTGAAAGGGCAGTGGGGTGCTGGCGAAAATCATGGTGAAAAAACTTATCGTCTCTATTGTTGTTTAGTGAAATCCCCATAGTAAATGTGAAAAAAGAGAAAAACGAAAAGACATTATCAGCAAGGTATTGAAACAGAATCCCGGTATATCTTTGAGTTGTAGTAGTGATTCTGGTGATATATATCAATGTACCACTCCTTCATTATGTCCGTCATGTGAGCAAAAACATAAAGAAAATATCGTAGGAGAGAATTCTATAATATTGGATGCATGTTTAATTACACGGGAGAAATTAAATAATTTGGATGCATGTTTAATTATACGGGAGGAATTAATACAATAGTATAAATAATAGGTAATTTATAATAGGTAAAAACAATTGGAGGCCCACCGACCCCCTTCTTTATTTAATAAAAATCGTTTCCAGACGAAAATATAACATACAAATAAAAAAAACATATGCTCCAAGAGGCACCCTTAATGGATTCTGTCGCTAACCGGGATTTATCTAATCATTATCATCATTTTCATCATCACGCTCTAGGTTTTTTTTTTTGACATTTTACCCCAGGTGTCGTCATCTAATTTTAATAAAATAAAAAACTTAGTTCTGATAATTATATTTTAACACGAATGTACCTGTACTGGCACAACACGAGGTTTACTTACAAGATAAAAATTCTTTTGGCTTGTATTGTCGTTTTGATTTAGAATAGTTTGAGGTCTTATTTTTCTTGTCTCTGAGGATAGTGGTTTTTTTATTGCCGTTCGTTATTCGTACCTGAATACAAAAAAAACAAAGTAAAAAGGTTGGTCTTTCTGCTCTAGATTCATGGATCTAGCTTCATGGTCCTCCAAAGCTTGCTTTAATTTTACATTCTCA